AAAAACGCTTTCTGTTTGCTTTCACCTACCGACGGTGCTGATTTCAAAGTGGTCATTCAAGAGGCTAGTTTTCACGTGCGCAAAGTCAAAATTCACAACGATACCTTTTTAGGGATTGCTGCGGCACTTCGTCACGCTCCAGCCCTCTACCCAATTCGTAGAGTGGATTGCAAGGCCATGTCCATTCCAGCCGGTCAAATGACTTTTAGCCCTGACGATATCTTTTTAGGGCAGGTTCCTATCCGCCTATTGTTGACATTGGTTGAGAATACAGCTTTCAATGGATCGTACAAAAAGAATCCGTTTAGATTTCAGCACTTTGATGCCTCTCAAGTGGGTGTTTACGTGAACGGTGAAAGCACACCATCCAAAGCGCTTCAACTCAATTATGATCAGTCACAGTATCTCATGGGCTACATGAGCTTATTTCACGGTACTGGCCAACTGTTTCACGACAAAGGATTGCAGATTTCACGTGACGAATACCCCAATGGCTACTGTATGTATGCCTTTGATTTGAGTCCAGACCTCTCCTCGGGGACCCACACATCGCTTATAAAACAGGGGAACCTGCGCGTTGGACTTCAGTTTGCCAAACCATTGCCAACGACGGTTAACCTGATTCTCTACGCCGAATTTGACTCAGTCATAGAAATTGACCATAACCGCAACGTGACCTTTAACTGGGCTAGTTAAGATGAATACACGAGAAATTGCAGCCGTATTGAGTAATGTACCGTTCACAAAGTCAAGTTTTCAAGGCGTTTTCCCGTCAGACCGACTTCCCGACCACATCGATCGTTATCCAGCTGCTCTGGTCGCAAATGTAGATGTGCATTCAAAGCCCGGCTCGCATTGGTGTGCCTTCTTTATCGATGAAAATCACCAAGGACAGTTTTTTTATTCTTACGGTCAAGAACCACAACAATATTGTATGGACTGAAAATCTTTTTAGATAAAAATTGTAAACAGTGGACCTATAACTCACAAGTACTGCAATCGYTAGGATCTGATGTTTGTGGTCATTATTGCCTCTATTTTATAATCAATCGCTGTCAAAACATTAGCCTTAAATCCATTGTAAGTCGTTTTACTAAGAATACAAGAACCAATGACCATTTTGTATATCGTTTTATTGTTAAACATTTTGGATATATCATTAATCGTGTGAAATATATTGTAAACCTTCAGACTTCAAAACCCAATAAAAAACACATTTAATAGTTAAAATCAGTCTTAATTGATCATTTCTTTAAAATTTAATTATAATTAATTTCTAAAAGTCAACCAGCGCTGTCGCATTTCTTTGAGTGAATCGCGAGTTTTGGTGTTTCTTATTGTCATTTCATAACTTCTGGGTTCTCTTTAATCTTTTCCAACAACATTTTACCACGAGTTTTTGATGTTTTGGGTAAAGYTTGAAGAATTTCGCGCTCCAAACCGACCTCAGGCACGGTTTCTTCCTGCTGATCTAGTGGCTGTTGGGCTTCCTGTGGTGGTTCAGTARKATCCTTGACGGTTGGTGGTGGGGGTTGAATCTTSACATTTATCGGTTGATTCTTTTTCTGGTTGTAATATTGAAGATAATTTTGCAATGTTTGACTRTATTGCCGAACCTTTTCGTCTTCAGAGATATTTTTATCTTTCAAAACGTCTTGTATATCATGATCCAGTTCATTTAATCGCGCTGTTAGAGGCGGTGTGCTGACATTCTGTCGGCGCTGTAATCGTTCCAAGGTATTTTCGTCCACTAATACCATTCTCTTAGCGTGATTCATGTTACGAATTTCTCCAAAATCGTGATAGCAGCGGGTAGTAGCAAGGACAGAAAGTTACCTCCGTGCTGTACTAGAATCTTTCTTTTTGGCGTGAGCGGAACTCCCTTTGTTGCTATCTTGATGAGATGTTTCTTGTACTTGGCAAGTTTTCTTTTCTTTTGTGGACTGATTG